GTTTAAGGTAAAATTTGTACTATATGCCTCCAGCTGCCTTACTGACCAATCTTCAGGTTAGGATTCCTCCCAAAGTTAAAGAGCTGAATTCTTTTGTTTTCTCAGGTGGAAAAGAGAGAGAAGGTCACGGAGAGATAACTTGGGTGGTTTTGCCCCTCACTTTTATATTTCAGTCACCCTTGGAAATGCATTTCCCTGAGAATGACCCCTACATAAAATTCTTTGCAGCTGAAAGAAAGGAGACATGGAGTTTCGTGAGGGTGAGATTTTACGCTATCGTTTGCCCAGATCAGATCTGTTTGTTCCTACCCCTATCCTTGCCAAAGAATGACCACTTGGTAGGTGATGGCCCATCACTTTTGATGGCACCTGGCTGGGGCATCAGCTTGTTCTTTGTCTTTAAAAGATAGGTTTGCCCACTTCCCAGACTTGTTCGGTAAACACATGATTCCAATTTATGTTCATAACTTTACATATAACATTGCTACATACATACATACATTTTACCAAGATGTTATTGATCAACAAGTTATTAGATTTTAAATGAAAGCTTACAAGGCATATATTATACAAAGGTAATTTCAGTAGTGTTTAAGGTGTGAATACAGGAGTGCATTCAGTCACACCAATTAAACCCCACCCTGCCATAGACTGTGAGGATTAAATTACCCCCAGTTCAGGCACGGCCGGGGCTGCTGAGCCCTCCCCCAACACTGTGGGGGCAGGAGAGGGGTCTGGCCAACTGCCATAACTGCCGCTTTGGAAGGTCTCATTCTCATGGGGGGGGGGGGAATCTCTCACCAAACCCTCAAATCTATTGATTTTTTTTAAATCAAGTTTGGATGTTTTCCTAAAAGCTCTGCTCTAGGAATGATTTTGGGGCTGTTCTCTGGCCTGTGTTACACAGGAGGTCAGACTAGGTGGTCACACTGGTCCCCTCTGGCCTTGGAATCTATGAATCTGTGCATTTAAAAATGTGGAAAAGAAAAATTAAGCAGGTCAATTTTGAGCCTTTGGCATTTTATCCCGCTCTTCTCTCCACCCACCACTGAAATGGTTCATTGAGATGTTAGTGTCTTGCTGTGCTCTGAATGGAACCATCTTGCTGCTGGTGGTGCAGATGGTAATAAAGTATCTGGGGAGCCCATTTTATTTTTGTTTTTGTTGCCCTGTCAGGAATTTTAAAAGAAAAACCCCTCCCCTTTTTTATATGGGAGTTAAAATTCCTGTGTCTGGGGATAATTTTCCATCCTTCCTCTCAGGGTGAGAATGGGCCTTCCCCAGCCCCCAGTGGCAGTTAGTTGCCCTTCCACTTAAACAAAGTTCTGTATTAGGGGCAGGGATGAAATGGGACCTTCCAAAGGGGAAGTTAGAAATAAACACAGCCTTATATTGCATGGAATGAGGGGTTAGCATGAATGGCCCCAACATGAAGTAGACTCAAGTGTCCCCTGCTAATAGATATTTGTATCACAGGAGTGGGGCTTTCTCAGGGTCAGTGCCTGAGAACCTGCTTTCTTCCCCCCCAAAATGCTCCTTCTACAAAGGCAGAACAAGAACAGATGGTTGGAAGCTGAAGAAAGATGAATTCAGATTAGAAATAAGGCACCAGTTTTCCACTGTGAGCGTGATTAACCATTAGGACAAACTCCCAAGGGAAGTGGTGGATTCTCTAGCTCCTGGTGTCTTCAAAACCTGTTGGGACACTGTTATGGAAGATTCTTTAGCCAAATACAAGATATTGTGCTCAATACAGGAGTAACTAGGTGAAATTTAATGGCCTGTCTTACACAGGGGTCAGACTAAGGGCTAGTCTACACTACCGCGCGGGGTTGATCTAAGATACGCAACTTCAGCAATGTGAATAGCGTAGCTGAAGTCGACGTACTTAGATCTACTTACCGTGGTGTCTTCACTGCAGTAAGTCGACAGCTGACATTCTCCCGTTGACTTGGCTTGCACTCCTCATTCTGGTGGAGTACCGGAGTCGATGGGAAAGCACTCAGCGGTCGATTTATCGCCTCTATAATAGACACGATAAATCAACCCCCGCTGGATCGATTGCTGCCTGCTGATCTAGTGGGTAGTGTAGACAAGCCCTAGATGATCTACTGATCCTTTCTGGCCTTAAAATATATAAATGTCTGAAGCCCTTTTCCTATCCTTCTGCACATACACCTTCCTCAATGTTCCCCTTCCACATGGATGTTTGGTGCAGTAGTTGGTTGCGTCAAGATTATGGAGCATGAAAGTTGTTATGGAGAGGCAGACACAGCACCAAATTATACAGGAATTCTCTGTAGTAATTTGTGAAGAAAATTCCCTTCTGTACCAAATAGGGTCTTATAATTCAAACCTTTAAGAATGAGTAAATAAGGTTTCACTGGTGAACAGCACTACCAACAAAAGCAGGAATTCCTTAATTAATTAAAATATTTGTGTTATAATAATTAGCAACTTTTCCTTGCTTTTTTTACAATTTCAGAGTCAAAGTGAACAAGTGCAACAGATATATCAATTGAGTAAATGTCATTTCACTAATGGTGAACCATGCATCTTACTAATTACACTGGAGGTTAAGTCCAATCACAGAAAAATTCTAAAATGTGACCCTCAGCTATTTCCAGCAGAGATTTCTGTGTATGTAAGTTGACAGAAAACAAAATGCATTTGGGGTATTATATTAAAGTACTGTACAGTATTGCATCTTTTCAGATACATTCTATGGCTGTTCAAAGAAAGAAATGTTCCTAGGCCAGATAAATACTTCGTCTGCCCTCTCTTTAGCTCTTTTCAATGTAACTTGTATATAATATTAATATTTAAAATAATGTTCCAAATGTTGATTAGTTCAGTAGAGAACACCAAAGTTATCTAAATAAACATTAGCACTTATTAAAGCAAAGGTACTGACATTACATGTACAAACTGTTAGGATGACATAGAACACTGGGAACCATTTTATATGTTTCCAAACGGAGAGATGGAATTCTGAAATTTAAAAGGAAAGGAAGGGGAGAGATATTCCAGCACAGATGAAGAGTTCTCCAAGTAACTTGAAAAGTATACCAAGAGCCACACTACTACTGTGCAACTCTCACAGCAACATTAAAGAAGGGTTTAACTAGTAGTGTAGTGTGTTTGGGAATACGGGAGTATCCCTGTAAGTTGTTTGAGAGTCCTCTAATGATGCTCACTGTGATTTGTGTTTTAGAAGCCATCAGAAATCAGTCTGAGCATAGTCTGCATTCAGCTCATTCTTGTGTGTTTCTATATCAATAATAAACATGATTATTTGGTGGCCAGGTGTGCCTGATAGTTTCTTCGTATATTTTTTCGTTGTGCACCTAGCAAAACAAACACACTCATTATAACAATTTTTCCTAATTATAACACAATAAAAAAAGTTCCTTAGCCATTGCTCTTGTTCTTAATTTGTCTGATTTATTAATTTATTGATTTATTATCCAAAAAGCAAGCAGTGTTAGTCCCATAGACTTCTTAATTTGTAACTGTCCATATAATTTATGTGAAAACATTACCTCTGGATCTGCAACAATTTGATTTGACTATTGCTCTTGGTTAATTATTTTGTGCATGTGCTATAGCTACTGTCAGATGAGATACAAAACAGAAACAGGGGTGTAATATTTGGCAGAGAGTAGCCCAGACAGGGAATTTCAGCTCTGGGAATGGCATATTCTTGTCTCACCACAATGGCACTCTGAGCGCTCCCAGAAATATTTTGTCATTTTCAGCCACTCCAATTCCAGATTTGAATATTGCATTATTAAATAATGTATAATTATGTATATACACTGTTATGAACCAGTGGGTTATAGCCCACGAAAGCGTATGCCCAAATAAATGTGTTAGTCTCTAAGGTGCCACAGGAATCCTTGTTGTTTTTGTTATGAAATTCAATCAGATTTATTATGGTAAAATGTTTGAAAAGGCATCGCACACTGATGAATTACTACAAAATGCTCTTTTGAATAAGGAATGGGAACCATCAACAGGGAACCGATTTCACTTTCTTTGTTCACTGCTGGCTGGGCTAGTAACAAAGCTTCCCCGAACGAGATGCTTGAGGGTTAAACCCACAGAGCTCCGAATCCTCCACAGCCTAGACACGCCCAGTAATTACTACGAGACCTTCCAGTGCCTCAGTCTCGAGCCCGGCCCGAGCTGCGCGTGCGGAGTGAGCCCCCTCTGCAGGCTGCAGCCCCAGCGCCCGGCGCGGTGAGCGGGGCCCGGGGAGGGAAATCGCCGCCGGGGGAGGGAGCTGCTGGGACCGGAGAGACCCCCCCGGGGGCCGGTTTGTGCAGCGGTCGGAGCC